CCCCCCAAAAAAAAAAGTATCACCGCCCCCCTTCCAAACATACACATTACGCATACATTCACCCCCCCACCCCTTCTTAAAAACCTCAAAATAAAAAAAAAACAACTTAAAAGACTCCCTTCCCCCCCCCCCAGATAAATAAATAAATAAATAAATAAATACATAGATAAATAAGTAACTAAATAAATAAGTAAAATGAATAAATGAATAAATACGTAAGTAGTAATTTTAAAACTTTAAAAAAGTACAAAATGTTCTTTTTTCTTCCCCGTTTTAGTAATTTCCTTCGACCCACCTCCTGTTCTGGTACCAGGTCTTGACCTGAGTGTCCGTGAGGTTGAGTTTTGCCGCCAACTCCATGCGGTCCTGGACGCTGAGGTACTTCTGGCGCTCGAACGTCTTCTCCAGGACAGACAGCTGGTGGTCAGTGAAGGCCGTGCGCGCCTTGCGGGGCTTCTTGGCCTTGACCAGGAGAACAGGCGACCCTGACCTTGACCGACTTCGTTTGGTGCCACCGGAGCTTTCCGCTGTCGATTCTGTTAGTGTAGACAAGAGATGAACTACGGTCAGAAGTTTGATTTATTTCAAATCTTTAATGAATTTATTAGAAATAATATAGTGCTGTAAAAGAACTGGAATTGAAGATATCAACACAACCATAAAAAAAAGGAGACGATTGAGATATTTAGGACATGTTCTTAGAATGCCGAAGACAAGATACCCAATCAGACATGTTATGAGAAACCAACTGGAAAAGGGAAACAAGGAAGACCAACTGGAATGTATAGAGGCACAATAAGAGATGAGGCAATCATCCAGGGCCTAGATTTGCCCAAATTGGAGGACGTGGCCAAGGACAGGCAAGCGTGGCGTCGACTGCTCTTCGCCTTATGTACTTGACGGTATAAGGAGAGAGTAAGTAAGTAAGTAGACCATTGGTTTACTATTCTAGAAATTTTTGGGTTATTTTAACAGAAAATCTTTCCTCTTTATTTGTATTGGTTTTTAAGTACACCAATTGTACAATAGTACATGAATGCAAAAAAACTTTGCTCTTGTTTTCTTTCTTGTCTTTTCGTGTTTTTTTTGGTTTTTTTTTTAAACTTGACGTTGACCAAAGGTATGATATTTACTTTTTAGTTTTAGTCAGTTTTTACGACACTTGCAACTCAAATGGGTCATATTAGTGTCGAGGGTTAGAGAGTGGCATGCAAATAAAAGATTGAGGAAAGATGAAGACAAAAGTTGTTTGAGAGGAAAGAAGGAGCTAAACCCACCACTGCACCTGTCAACCAATCGTCATGTTATGTGTCATGAACTTGTGTGTGTGTGTGTGTGTGTGTGTGTGTGTGTGTGTGTGTGTGTGTGTGTTTGTGTGTGTGTGTGTTGTTTTTTAATTTACGGAGACCTGTTGCACAATTGGTAAAGAAATATTTTTTGACCGGTTGTGTACTATAATATGTAGGGACAGATTTTGGGGCGCTTAATTTTCCTTTGCTGTTTATTTATTTAGTATTTAGTATTTAATTTTTGTTCGTGTATTTTGGGGCGCCAATCAGAGGTATGATATTCTGTAATGAGAGTGATATTTTTTGGAGAGGGGATTTGGGGGGGGGGGGGGGGGGGATCATAAACGAAAGCTGACATTATGTTATAGTGTATGAAAGACGTGTTTTTGTTTTTTAAAACTTAAATCAGAGTTATAGCACTGTTATAAAGTTGTTGGGGTTTTTTTTCTCTCAAATTTAACATAGACTTGGGGCAATAGTAATTCATTTCTGTAACGTGTATCGGTGGCATAAACTGTTTAGGCAGTTGTAGTATTTTGATTTCTTGTGTAAAATAAGTTACTAAGGTTGTTTTGTTTTTAAATAATATTTTCTTTTAAATCAATTTGAAAATTACGTTCCAAAACGCTGTAACCAAAATTCAGCGAGCTTCTCTTTCCGTGTCTTCTTTCTTTAGGTCCAGCCTTTCCCACCATTCTTACAATAAAGATCCATACCCTACATTTTAAACTTTAAACTTGGCGCTCATATGACCTTATGTCTCTACTGAAACACAAATAAACAACAACCAACAACAACCAAAAATTAAACTAGTAACGATAAAACTAACATTTTCAATACTGCTGCTACTACTACTGATATAATAATAAAATTGATGGTGAAAATGATAATAACAATAATAATAATAATAATAATAATAATAATAATAATAATAATAATAATAATAATAATAATAATAATAATGATAATAATAACAATAAAAATAATAAAAAATAATGATAATGATGATGATGATGATGATGATAGTAGTAGTAGTAGTAGTAGTAGTAGTAGTAGTAGTAGTAGTAGTAGTAGTAGTAGTAATGATAATGATAATAATAATAACAATATAGCAACAATAATAATAATAATAACAATATAACAACAAAAATAATAATGATAATAATAATAGATAATAATATATAGCATTTGTGTAGCGCAAATCCCCGCTCAACAGCAAGCTCTATGCACTTCACAATCTATACTAATAGGCCTACTACTAATAATATAATAATTTTTTAAAAAACCCAATACTGGACGGAGTTATGGAAGACAAAGATTTATCTTTGGTAGCAACAACAACATATCTCTTACCCTGTCTCACACAGATACATTTCTACACTTCTCTCTCTCTCTCTCTCTCTCTCTCTCTCTCTCTCTCTCTCTCTCTCTCTCTCTCTCTCTCTCTTTGTGTATGTATGTATGTATGTATGTATGTATGTATGTATGTATGTATGTATGTATGTATGTATGTATGTATGTAG